AAGGCTCTCTATGAGTGGACTCCCAACCACCTATCCCCCCCTCACTGGCCATACTCCAACCACACCAGCCTCCCTCCTGTCCTTGACAGGAGTTTATTTCTGTCTCAGGGCCTTTGCACTGGCTGTTCCCGCTGCCGGATACACTCCTGATCAGGGTCCAGTGTCTTCAGGGGGCAGCTCTTCAGAGATGCTCTCCTCCACGGTGTCAGACGCTGACCCCTCTGCTCCACCCCCACACCAGACACAGTATCTTATCACCCTGTTCCTTCTTTTCACAGCACATCGCTATTTGAAATTTCAAATACTTCTTTTGTCATCAGCCAAAACTGGATGGAAGGCAACCCCCCCCCCCATTTTCCCTAGGCTGCAGCTCCTACTGGGAGCTTCCCTCGCATTAACGTGCAGATGACTGGCAAACTCCTACTCATCCTCCAAAAGACCCTGCCCGAACGCCCCGTCCGGCCCCCTCGTCCACACCGGGTTACCTCGACCCGGCCAGGCCGCTCTAGGATGGGACGTCTCGGCTCTCGCGACTCCCCTGGCCGAGGCGGCTCCTCCAAGGTCCCGCCCGGGTCCGGACGGCAGAGGAGAAGGCAGCCCGCGGGCAGACGGGCGGCGGCCTGACGGGGGCGGGGCTCCGGGGAGGGTCCGGGGCCTGGGCGCCGGCCGAGCTGCCGCCCCCGCGCCCCCGTCGGCCTGCCCGGCGCACCTGGCCCTCCGCCCGCAGCTGCCGGCCAGAAAGCCGGCGGGGCCTCGCCTCCGCTCGCGGCCGGGACCCCGACTTCCGGCGCCTGCGTCAGCGGAACCGGAAGCCGCAGCGGTTGCCCGGCCGGCCCGGACCCGCCCACTCGCGGCCCCGCGGAGGGGCGTCCGTCCCGCGGGCCGGCGCTTTGGGCCCAGCGCCGCGCCTTCCCGTCCCGCGCGCCTACGGTGGAGTCGCCTCAGGAGCGCGGCCGCGGCTGGGAGCCCGGCGTGGCGCCGCCCGGCGGTAGCCCCGGGGCGCCCCAGGCTGCGGGCAGAGCCGCGCCCCTCCCGGTGTGCGGGAAGGAATCGGACAGACCCACCTGCGGCGGCGCGGCGCTGCGCGGCGGGGGTGCGCGGGCCTGGTGCCCCCCCCCTCCCGGGGTGCCAGCGGCCCGTCCCTGCTCCGGGAAATCCCAAACGACTGTACCTTCCCGCGCCCTGCCTCTCGCCCTCCTTCAAAGTGAAGACAGCCCCGAACAGCAGCAGTGCGGGCTAGAGGTCCAAGACTTGAGCGCTCCTGCTATGGCTCCTGCTGGTCCTGTGGCAATAGCGAGTGATCTTGAAAAGTCCTTTTTTCCCCAACCCCGGCCGCACGGGTCCCCAAACCTGTACTTGACCTATCCATTGGGTACACAGCACCAGGATTCCGCTTGGGGTCCCAGCCCCTGTGACCGCCCTCCTGGGGGAGGGGGGAGGGGGGAGGAGGAGCGAGGGGGATTGCAGCACCGTCCCCAGGAGGAAGGGTAAAGGTTAGGAAGGAAGAGAATGGCGGTGACCCCAGACGCAGGCCTGGTCTGGGTTCACGGTCCTCCCAGGCCCCTTGCTATGCAGGAGAGGAGCAGAGAAGCCCCTCACCCCATTTCCTCGGCAGCCCAAGAACCTGGGTGGCCCAGTGGTTAAGTGTCTGCCTTTGGCTCAGGTCATGATCCCCTGGTCCTGGGATGATCCCCCATCTAGGGCTCCCGGCAGGGAGCCTGCTTCTCCCTCTGCCCATGTCTGTTGTCTCTCTGTGAGTAAGTAGATAAAATCTTAAAACAACAAGAAACAGCCCAAGAGAAAGGGCTCTATCTCTGTTTCCCTGACTTCCTGCTCTCTTTTAGGGCCAGTGTCATTCCAGAGCAGCCTCCCCGCCAACACACTAGGGCTCCCCGCCCCCCAACACCCTTGCACAATCCTGTTTTCTGCATAGCGTTTGCACAATCCGGTTTTGTTTTCTTTACAGCATTTGACTCAAAATTGTGTGTTCATTCGCTGATTCTGTCTTCCTGCCCCTAAAGCACATACACCCCCGTTAGGATAAAAGGGCCACTGGGGCCAGGACTTTTTGGTCGTCACTGCTGCATCTCCAATACCATGTGCTTGGAACACAGGAAGTGCTCAAACATCGTCTGAGGTCGCCACTATGTTCTACTTATGAATGGGGCCCCGGGGACTCCAAAACCTGTATGACACACACCGGAAAGAAGGCTGGCCCAGGCCCCACCGGCAGCTCGCGGGGGCGCTGTTGGAGCCTCCCGGAAAGGCCTGTCTGTGCACCTCCGGCCTGGGTGGTCCTGGCCAGCAGAGGCTCCGCGAGGGCGGAGAGTTGAGTGAACCCTGCCTGGGGCCAGGGGCTAGGCTGAAGCCGCCCTCCAGCCAGCAGGGCCGCACACACCTTCCCCGTGGCCCTAGGCTTCCTCATTTCCTCTGGGGGAGCCCTTGTCGGCCTCCCCGCCCAGGTGGCCGTGAGCAAAGCCTGGCTTCCCCTAGGACACACACAGGCACGTGCACACACACACACACATCAGGCACTTCCACCCCTACCTGTCATTGTCATCCACCCCAAACCGACTCTCCTGGCCTGGCAGTCTTGTGACTTCTCAGTGTGCACCATTTTATTGCATAGATGATTTTGTCCATCTCTCCTGTTGGGACTGTGGCTTTTGTTTTTGTTTGTTTGTTTGTGTTGAAGGGTGGGGCTGCTTCAAAGCAGAAAAATGTAACTGGTCTCCACTAACTTGGTAATCGTCTGCTTAATCTTTTGCTAGTTTCCTAGGATTTGATTTTTTAAAATTTAACTCCTCAATACATGCCCATTTTATTTTGCAAGGGTTAGTGCAAAGTATGACTTGTTCCCCCACCATTTTTGTCCAGTTACTCTAGTATATCTTATTAAACAATCGTACCTTTTCTTCTGGTTTGGAAGCCTTTTATCATAACATTAAGATTTTCTGGGGCGCCTGGGTGGCTCAGTGAGTTAAGCATCTGCCTTAGCTCAGTCATGATTCTGGAGTCCTGAGATCAAGCCCCACATAGGGCTCCCTATTCAGTGGGGGGACTGCTTCTCCTCCTCCCTGCTTGTGCTCTCTCCCTATCTCTGCCTCTCTTTCTCAAATAAATAAATAAATAAATAAATAAATAAATAGATAGATAAATAAAATCTTAAAAAAAAAAAAAGGATTTTCAGGACGCCTGGGTGGCTCAGTGGTTGAGTGTCTGCCTTTGGCTCAGGTCGAGATCCCGGGGTCCTGGGATCAAGCTCCCCATCAGGCTCCCTGCATGAAGCCTCCTTCTCTCCCTGCCTATGCCTTTGCCTCTCTGTGTGTCTCTCATGAATAAATAAACACAATAAAAAAAAATATTTTCTGCACAATGGAATCCATTTATGGATCTTCATTCTTTCCATTGAGATGTATTATTTTTACACCAGTGTCTTATTGTTTTACTTGCTACTTTGTAATATGTTCTGATACGTGGAGGGGTTATACACTGCTCATAAAGAGAGGAAAAAAAGGAAAGAAAGGGTATCCAGAAAGCAGATGACTGGTTGCTGGGGATGGGGGAGAGGAGTGACTGAAACACAGGAATTTGGGGGCAGTGATGGACCGAGTCCGTATTTTGATTTTAGTGTTGGTTATGGGACTTTCTGCATTTGTCAAAGTTCTAAAAACTCTACTCCACAAAGGAAGCATTTTCTGTATGTAAATTATACCCTAAAAATGCTGGGGTGGGGGGGAGGCAGGTATACAAGAGATGTACTTAAAAAAGAGAGAGAGAGAAAGAAAGTAAAAAGGTTCGTGGCAGACAAGACAAGCCCTGGTGTGTTCTCCTGAAAATACTGCGTTCCTGGCTTCCCTGAGTGGGCCATGGAAGGCCAGGCTAGGGAAAGATGGACCTTCCCCTGATAGCTGGTGGCATTAGGGTAGCAACAGACACTGCCTGCCCTCTGTGGAACATGGGGGCATCAGGCTTCAGCCCATGGAGTTCAAGTTGCCTACAGGTCCTATCTCTTCCTGCCACCCTCCAAGTGGCACCTGACCAGTCTCCTGCTTCTACTCTGTTCCTGTCCCTCCTTGCAAGGCTTTGGTTCAGGCCAGTAGCAGCTACATGATTTGTAGGCTCTGGAGCAAAATGAAAACGTGAGGCTCCTTGTTCAAACATCATTAAGAAGTTCAAGATGGCAACAGCAGATGGGGGCACCTGGGTGACTCAGTTCTTTAAAGCGTTTGCCTTCAGCTCAGGCCATGATCTCAGGGTCTTGGGATGGAGCCCTGCATTGGACTCCCTGCTCAGCAGGGAGTCTGCTTCTCTCTCTCTCTCTCCCTCTGCCCCTCCCCACTGCTCATTTTCTCTCTCTCTCTCTCTCTCAAATAAAATCTTTTTTTTTTTTTTAAGATTTTATGTATTTATTCATGAGAGAGTCAGAGAGAGAGAGGGAGGCAGCAGAGACACAGGCAGAGGGAGAAGCAGGCTCCATGCTGGGAGCCCGACATGGGACTCGATCCGGGGTCCCTAGGATCACACCCTGGGCTGAAGGCTGCACTAAACCACTGAGCCACCCGTGCTGCCCTCTCTCAAATAAAATCTAGAAAAACACATGCAAAAAACAAGATGGCAACAGCAGAGCATTGTTTCAAGTGTAGGGACCTTCTGAGTGTGGTCCTGAGTGACTGCACAGGTCACACACACATAAAGCTAGTTCTGGTTCTAGTCCTCCCTTTTGGCTACTTGATGGACCCATCCACAGCCACAGCAGCTGAGCTGAAGTCCTCCTGTGCCAGCTTAGCAGTCTGTCTAGGGGCTGCCTTGCCTCCCCTCAAACCCTTCTCGAAAGGGCTCTCCCTCAGAACTGCCCCACACCTCCCTGCCTCCTTGTGTTCAAATCCGGGCTGATCCTGAATGCCCTCATCCCACTGCTCCTGAGGAAATCCCCCCAAATTCCTTTCCTCAGAGAGGTTTAGCCCCGCTAAAGAAAACAATACTCTTGACACTAGTCAAAGAGTGGTAAGGAAGACTTTATTCAGAAAGGATAGTGCAGTGGGGGTTTTGTAGTTGGGGGGGAGAGTGGGCTTAACTCCAAATACAAGGAAAAGTCAAATTTATGGTGAAGGAGCAGGGTGGGGTGGGGTGGGGGGAGGGCAGTGGATGAAACATTACTAAGAGGATACCTCCAGGGGTCAGGAGGCAGCCCGGCTGAACACACCTCACAGGAGTCTTGCGGAAGGCAGGCCAGCCACCACCTGGGCATGGTGGAAGATGAAGAGCCAGATTATGCATGGCAGGGTATCTGATGCGGCCGATGGGGGACTCTGGCTAAACTAACTTGGCAGGAATCTTGCTAGATCTGGACTAAATCAGGAGGGATACCTTCCAAGGTCAGGAGCAAAGAGAGGTTAGAAGCACTTGACCAAAGTGTGGTCAATCGTTGTCACCCTCCCCCAGATAAACACCCCTCATCACCTGCAGTGAAAAGTGAGCCAGCTTTCCTCTGAATTCCATGGCACTCATGTCCCACCTTTCGTGACCTATTTCACTCTTGTTTTGTTGCAAGAAATAACACATTCTTCTTTTCTGAATTCAGTATAGAGGACTAAGCCCCACCTACTAGGGTGGTGAGTTACAGTCTGAACTGTCATTGTGGGGCAGGCACCTTCTTTGAAAACAGGCTCCCTAATACCGATCGCCACCACCCCCACCCTCAGTCTCAGAGAAATGTACTTCTCTGTGCTCTGCTGACTTGCTACCGTGGCAGGGAGTGTGTGTATATGTTTGCATTCTTCTCATCCTGTCACTACCATGGACATATATGTGAGCTATCTCCCTCCTCTACCCACAGGGAAGGGTCATGGGGGCAGAGGCCTTTGCCACTATGGCTTCTTCATCTAAGACCCAGGCCTGGCCCTCAGGGAGGCGTTGTAGTGCCTCACCAGGCAGGGGATGGTGACCGGCTCTGCAGCCACAGTCTGGGCACAGGTGCCTGTGAATGGTGAATTAACACTCAGACCTGGAGACTTCCCCACCTACTCCACTCCACCTCCAGCTCAAACCCATGCCAGTCAGGGAAAGGTCAGGGAAGGGGCTTGACTCGAGTCCCCCAGTGCTTTCTGGGCTGGAGTCAGAGAAGGCTCTGAGGAATCAAGACAGAAGACACAGGCCTGCCTGGCAATGCCCACAGCCCAGTGGAGAAAAACCAAAATACCAGCAAATCTATGGGTCTGTGGACACAGGGTAGGGGGGTTTTGGAGAATTAGCCTCGTCTGCTGGAGAGTGCCTCTGGGCAGCTGGGGAGCTGAGGGACCCACCAGGCAATGGAGGGAGGGGCCACTCTAAAGCAGGAGCCACCGCTGTGGCACCTGTGATCAGCTGGTCCCAGAGCCACCCAGCCGGCTCGGGGACCAGGGAACTGGTTTGCCCGGCAGGGATGAGCTAACAGGATCTGGTTCCCTCTGAGCCACCCCAGCTTCAGCTCCCTTGTGCCCTTCCCCCTGCATCTGGGTCTAGCCCTGGTTTCTGGCACAGCTGCCAAGTTTTGGTACCGCCCACCCACTCCCCGCTGGCTGTACTGGCCGGCCCAGCTCTCTAATTGCTGGGTGGGGAGTTAGGCAGAGATGGTACACTGAAAGGTGGACCCCGGCCACTGTCAGGCATGTGGGCACCTGGCCTGACCAGCTCCAGGTTGTGGGGAGGGAGTGACCCAGGCTTGAGGTCAGCATCTAGCTCTGGGAGGGCCTTCTGGAGGGTGACTGGCCCTGAGGCCTCGGTTTGGAGGGATCTGTGGAACAAATTCCAAGGCCCGTGAGAGATAGGCCTGCCTCACTTGAGTGCTCCCAGTTTCCCTCCCCGGGGCAAATGACCGAGGCTCAGGGTGGTTCTAGATGGGTCTCAGCTAGGTGCAGGGGTCTGTCCTGGCCATAGGCTCTACCCAAGCCTGGCCAGAGCCACAGGGGCTGCGGCTGGTGGGAAGAAATAGAGCAGAAGGAGGAGCCAGGAAGCAGCCCTCCTGACCTCCCAACACAGGAGCCCCAAACACACCCCCAGACACACCCACCACCAAGACAGCTCCACACACACCTGCCACTTACATGACCATAAACACACCATCCCCACAGCAGACGATTCACACACCCCATTCTCCACCCTAAAAAAGGTGGGGCACATCAACTCATACTCCAGAGCTCTGCAGGTACCCCTGCACAGCCACTCTACCAGGATCCACCTGCTGGGGCCCAAGGGGCTGCGAGGCATGCCCTGGGAAGGGGGAATCATGGCTGGAGGGTGCAAACTGGGGTTTCTGCAGAGAGCTGAAGAAACAGCTCAGAGGTTGCTGCTGCCCCGTAGCAACTAGAAGGGGAGATGTCTGTGGGCTGACTCCCCTGGAGCAGGAAGCCTAATTCAACTGTTAGCCCCCATGCACCCAAGGCCTAACAGAAGACAGGAACTGCTCAATGCATGGCAGCAGTTACAGCAACACACTCATGAGAACGCTGAACTTTACTGCAAGGAGTGGGGAATAACTACCTGCCTGCCAGACTGGGTCTGTGCTCCAGGCCACCCACCCAAGAGGGTGCAAAAGCCCAGAGGGGAAACCAGACTGCTGAAAGGTTAAGGGTGGGAGTGGGCTTTAGGGGTCTGAAACCCACGGTCAGGGTGCCTGGTGCAGGGCTGGAGGTGGAGGGCTGCTTCCTCTCAGGACAGAGCTTTTCAGAATACAAATTAGGTCACATCTCACCCCTGCTTAAAAATATCCCTTGGCCTTCCATTGGCTACAGGGAAATGGCGATGTTCCCCACTGTGGTACAGGCCCTTTACCATGTAACCCATCCACAAGTTTTCTCTGCCTGTCTTCCTGCACCTTCCTGCACCCCTCCCATCGCTGTGGAGGGTGGGTACGCCACAGCTAGATGGAGATAGAAGGTGCGTTCTGGGAGGGGCAGGTCCCTGCTGGAGCCTTTGGGTGGCTCCAGGGGAAGCTGTCTTAGGCCAGCCCTAAACCCAGCAGGGTGCTGGGTACCCAGGGCCCAGACTTCCTACCAAGAGAATGTTTCATGTTCTAGCAATGCCTTGGTTGACTTGCCCTTTTGTTTTTCTGGGTTCTCTGGCATTGTTCCTTCTGCAAAATCCCACTGGCACTGAAGAAAAGAATTTCAGCCCACACGGCAGCTAAGGGGCCGTGCAGAGTCAGGACAAGGATCCCTCCACTTCCCAGTGCAACACATATGCCCAGCAGCTGCACACACGGGAGCAGAGGGCACACCCTCCCATTGACCGTGACTGTGCAGTAAAGGGCCCCTAACACCAACCATCCACAGGAACAGGCCCTATGTAGCACCCGTGGCCTCCTTGTAGAAAATGTGGTTTTATTCTCGGGGAGGCCAATGTTCCCATCCCAGCCTCCCCCCCCTTCACGCCTGCCCTTCTGTATCACGGGGCTCTTCATTCCCCAACTTCCTTCTCCGGGCCACATCTACTCCAGAAAGCAGGGCTGGGCCCCACCGAGGTGCCCGTCTGCCAGGAGGTCTTGCCCTGGCTCCTGCTGCTTGGCACCCTATCCAGCCCACTGCACCACTGGACCCCCTCCTCCCGGTGGGCCTCCCCACCCCTGGCCGGCTTCAGCAGCTTCTGCCTCAGAATGGTGTAGGGAAGGAGCCAGCCGTCTCAGGGCGGGCTTGTCCAAGCCATTTTCTGGCGGTGCTTCTGCCACCCGCTCATCCACCGGCCTCAGATCTTGGAGGACTCCAGCCGAGGACTCCAGGGCGTCGGAGGCTCCCGCAGCGCGCGCAGCTCCTGCTCCAGCGCCTGGTTGCGGCGGTACATGTCCAGGTAGCCTCCCTGGATCTCCCGCTGATAGCGCAGCACGCGCTCCTTCTCCTCCTGCCACGTCCGCCGCTCCCGCTCGAAGCACAGCGCCTGCTCCTGGGCGCGGAGCCGCTCCTGCACCAGCTGGGCCCGCAGCTGCTCGGCGCCCCCGCCACCCCCTCCGGCCTCGGGGCCGCCCGCCTCGGCCAGCAGCCCCCTGCTCTTGCAGTCGTCAGTCTCACAGCCGCCCGGGGCCTCCTCCCGGGGCCCCTGCTCCTGCAGGCTCCGCACCGCCTCCCGCAGCTGGGCCAGCTCTGCGTCCTGGGCCTGCGCGTGGGCCCGGCTGCCCCGCAGCTGCGTCTTCAGGCTGAAGATCTCCGCCAGCTTCTGCGCCAACTCCGCCTGGGCCTCGCGCAGCTGCTGCTTCAGGAGGCTAATCTCCGCTGTCTTCTGGCACACCTGGAGGGGCACCCCGTGGGCAACGCGTGGGTGAGGGGGGAGGCGGAGGGGCTGGCGGAGGGCGCGACGGCAGGCAGCCAGGGGGACACAAGGTTTCTGGGCGCCTGGTCTCACCTCCCATCGGGCTTCCTCCTCGGGTCGCACGCTGGGGTCGGCCTCTGGGAGGGCGCTGGGGGGCCGCGGCTCGGGGCCCAGGCCCTGCTGCGCGCGAAGCTCTTTGCGCAGCCGTCGCTGCTCCTGCTGAGCCATGAAGAGCTGCAGCTGGAGGTTGCGCTCGCTGCGTTCCGCCTTCTGAGCCACCTCATGCAGCCGCTCCACGTATAGACGCTTCAGCTCAGCCAGCCACAGCCGCTGGCGCTCCTCCAGCACCTGTCGAGGGGAAGAGGTGCCTGCCATGCTGGGAGATCCACGCACCGCCCCACCTCCTGGGCACCCACTGCCAGCTGGCTAGCTCCCATAGCTAGACCTCCCCACAACACCCCACGGTAGCTGGAGCTCAAGTGGAAGTGGCCCCAACACACAGGAGTCTGTCTTCCTCCTTTCCACACAACTCCTAGCAAGGGCCATCAGGGACATGACATCCTCATCTCACACGTATGTGTCTGAGTGACTGAACAATCACCTCTACACCTTTCTTACTCTCTTGTGGCCAGAGCCACATAGGTGAGCTGGCGGGTGGCCCTCCTGTCCTTCCTGTACCCCAATGCCAAAAGACAGAACAGGGCCCTGGGGTGGGGGGTGCCCTTACCTGTGTGAAGGGATTGGCGCTGTCCTCATCACCAAGGCCCCTCTTGAGATCCTCACAGGTGTCGGGCAGCACAGCCACCACCTCCTCGGTGGCAGTGGGACAGGAGAACTCATAGGGTGGTGGTGGCTCAGGCAGGCAGTTCAGCATAGCTAGGGGCCCAGCCTCCTTGGGGACCCGTGAGGCCCGGTCCAGGGAGCCTCCGAGGTGGTTAATATGGCCCAGGGAGGAGCTGAAGGGGCCAGGACCAGTGCCTGGACTGCGGCCAAAGCTGCCCCCGCTGGAGGAGTCAGATAGGCTCGGCTCAGGCTCGGGGCCACCGTCGTCCAGGCTGAGGGCATGCAACAGCTGGGCACGGGCCTGTGCCTGGCTGGCCCGTGGCCCTGGGCTCAGGGGTGGGTGGCAGGCCAGTGTGTGCAGGCTGCCATTACTACGCCACAGCTTCTGACCCTTGTGCGCCGCCAGGCTCTGCATGGACACGAAGCCTTTCCCAGTGCCCGCCACGGGCTTGAACACCGCTGGACGGATGCGGCACTGCCGGGAGGAAAGGGTGGGTTGGAGGCCCTGGGTGGACCTCGGCTCTGCCCTTCGATGCTCCCACAGCCTCCACGATCATCTCGAGGACCCTGGGGTGCATGTCACCGGGACGCAGTGGCCTCTGACTGAGCCTCCGGCCAGCACAAGGTAGGATTTTCACGTCCCAGCCCCATCCCAGCATCCTCGGAGACCCCCCAGCTCCCCATCCCCACCCTCCTAGAGCAGGCTCAGAGACGCACCTTGTCAAAGCGACCACGCTCGGGCAGCGAGGTCTTGCTGAAGTCACCGGCCCGAGGATGCTCCCGGTAGTAGAGGGTGGTATAGTCGGTAGGCTCGTTCCGAGGGGCCCTCTTGGTGTTCTTGCCGTCTTTCTTAGAGAGGTGCAGGTAGCTGAAGAGTTCACGCTGGCCCAGGCCCTTCCGGAGGAGCCCATCAGGCTGGCGGGAGCTCCGAGACCCGGCGAGTGCTGCCCGCAGCTCTTCAGGGGAGAAGTCCTGCCGTTCCAACAGACTGCCCACGCTGCCCATGGCAATGCCAGCAGGGCCTGGGGCTATGGCCATGAAGTTTCAACAGGGCACCAGCAGCCGCCTCTGGGGATCAGAAGCCTCCATCAGGGGCAGGTGGGCCCTTGCTATCCCACTTTCCTGACGCCCTGAAACCAGGTGCTCGTTCTCTATGTCAGCTCCCTACCTGGCCCAGGCCCAGGAGGCAGATATGGGTCCCGGAAAAAATCCAGAACAGGATTCCTAGGCTGGCAAGAGAAAGGGGGAGAGGCTCCAAAGCCACCAGCCTAATGCTCCAGCTCCAGCTCCGGGCCTGATGTGATTGGGGGAAATGGGGATAGGCCTGGAGTAGCAGGATAGGGCTCTCCACAAGACTGAGCCAGCTGAAGCCGCAGGCTCTGACTCTGACCTTGTACACTCTCCTACCAGCCTCCTCACCCCATCTGGGGGGTGGCCTATGACTCCCATTCCTTCTTTTTCTCTGGGGAGGGGAAAAAACCCAGTTCAGGCCTCTTCCTGCAGTGGGTCAGAGTTCCCCTAGGGAAGCACCTGGCATGGGTGGGGTTGGGGGCTGCAGTGGGAGGGATCCAAACAGGAAGGGCCCGAGGGGAGGAAGGATGGTGGGAACAATGGCCAGTTTCCGGAACAGGTGTCCACACAGTCATAGGGGCAGTGGTGGGAGAAGGGGCGGTGGGAGCCCCTGCCCACCCTTGCCTAGGCAGCCACTCCAAAACCCACCACCAGGCAGGGGGTCCCAAATCTTGGCCCAGTGTGTGGCCAATCACGTGTTAGGCTCCAGCTTCCACATGCACTCTTATCACTCAGGGATGCTGGAATGATGGGCCCTGTTCAGGGCCTGGCCTGTAGCCCGGGTCAACACAGGCTGCCTGCAGCCGGGTTCAGCTGCTCAGACATGACCTCCTCCCCGGCAGGTGGCCCAGGGACCAGGTTAGGGACCAGCTCCCACCTGTGCTAAGATCATACCCTGAAGGGTGGGGCCTGGCCCGAGTGCCCCACCGGATCCCCTGTCCAGCCCGGAGACCAGCACACAGTAGAGACGCAGACAGGACCTGCCGAATGAGCGAATGCCACCTTCTCTGCCTCCGCCCCCCAGGCAGCTGCTTCCATCCCAGTACAGACACTCAGCAGGCAAGCAGCAGCTGTGTGCCCCCCCCCCCCCACAATATGCCTCCGGGACACCCACTCCCACTTCAAACAATGGTCGTTAGGAGGGTCCATCTTCCTCCACCATTTCCAGGTTTTGTGTTTGTGGAAGACAAAGCTCTCCGGGAGTGGCAGGCAGGGGAGGCATGGCCCTGCTCCCCACCCCTACCCAGTGACCAGCTGATGGCCTCTGAGGAGGTCACAGGGCACTCACGTTCAGGGGAACTCATCCAGTTAAGGAATCACAGGTGCTGGCCACCTCCAGTGACATAGCCCTGTGTAGCGGTCTCACTGAGTCCAGTGATATAGCTGTCATCCCTCTTTTAAGGTTAAGGGCTCTGGGGCTCCCAAAGATGAAGTAGCTTCATTCAAGGTCACAGAACTGGTTGTAATGAGACACCTGTGATCTCAGCAGGATGACTGTTGAATTTTTTTTTTTTAAGATTTTATTTATTCATTCACGAGAGAGACAGAAAGAGAGAGAAGCAGAGAGATAGGCAGAGGCAGAAGCCGGCTCCATGCAGGGAGCCCAATGTGGGACTTGATTCCGGGACTCCAGGATCACGCCCCAGGCCCAAGGCAGGCGCCAAACCGCTAAGCCACCCAGGGATCCCTGACTTGAATGTTGAGCGGGGACAGGAGGGCAGGACGGCACCCACAGCCCAGAGAGTTAGGATCAAAGTATCCTGCTTCCCAGTCAGACACCTCCTTACCACGACAAGTGCACCCCCGTGACAGACACCACTGTGTCTCAGGGAGGTGGACAGCCAAGAACCCGGTCTCCAGCCCTGTCCTCACAGTCTCTCCACAGGGACCCAACACTGTCACTTCTCCCTTTGCCATGCCTTGTTGCCCCATCTCTGAAGTGGGGAAGACCACCCGCCCTGCCTTCCTTTTGGGGTTCCATTACAGAGACACTGGGGGTGAAAGGTCTCAAGGGCCAGAAACCAAGTGCAAGCATGGGGGTGGGCATGGTGGCAGGGGGGTCAAATAAGTCCACTTCACCCCAAACACACACCACCGCACTTCCCCCGGGGGCAGATCCTGGCTTCCTGTCTCCAGGAGAGATAATGGGCACCCTGTTCCCCACAAGGGGTCTCAGGTCCCAGGGGAGAGCCCTTGAACTAGGTAGAGTCAGCTACGGGCCACAGGAGTGCACAAACCGCACACAAACCGCAGTCTGGTCAGTGAACAGCACAGCAGCTCCTGAGTTAGAGGACGTAGCATGGGCGGTCACATCCAATAGCACATACAGTCACGCACAAGGTCACCCTCACGGAGCCAAGCACCCTCTGGGACACACACACATGACACGCGAATGCTCTAGCACTACTCTAGCTCAGAGATCCAGTTGTCCTCCCCATACCCCAAGCTAGATGCAAAGGTGTGTGTGTGTGTGTGTGTCCCCGTGTGACCTAAGCAATTAAAAACAGCTGTGGAGCTGGAGGAAGGGGACACAGACAGCCCCTTCCTTTTGTCTTCCTCCGAGGCCTTTGCCCTCCACCCCTCCTAGGTAACTTCTCTGGCTGTATTATCATATCAGCTATCCCAGAGGGGCTGGGGCCTCCAGGCTTGCAGGAGGCTCCACCCTGCCCAGGTCTCAGTCTGGGGACAGTCCCTATTCCTAAAAGGGTCCATTCCCCCCACCCCCCAATGCACACATTCCTTCCCCGTTGCTTGGAGGCCAAGGGACTGGCCTGGTGAGGCCAGGGCAGCTATGCAGACTCGGCTGGAGAGGATCTGGTGCGGGAGGAGGGAGGGAGAGACAGCAAGTGCCTTGTAGCCCCACTGGGAAGATCACAGGGCGAAAAGCAGGGCTTCCTCCAAATGTCTCCAAGGGCTCCCCTGCCCAGAGCTCAGTACATGCCGTGGGGCTCAGAGTTCTACACAGGGTTGACACCACCCCCTCCTCCTCCACCACCACCACCACCACCACCATGCTGGCTAGGTTTGGGCTGGGTCCCAGCTGGCCCCCCCCCCCCCCCCGTTCCCAACCCCAGGTCCCAAGACAAAGCCCTGGACATAGAGGGGCATCTCTTCCGGGATCAACCCAGAGACAGGAACACAAAGCTTGGAAACCACCCTGGCCATGAAAAGAGAGAGGACACACAGAGAAGCATCCCAGCATCTGTTAGTTGGCCCGATGCTGGGCTTACCACAGCCTCGCAACACGTATACAGGTGGAGAATACTGACATGCTCCACTTCAGAGGAGGAGGTAAAAACACGTGCCTGAGGTCACCTTCAGCCACATCGGAGAATGTATACAGGCTCCCCAGGTTTAGAAGCCCACCCTGACCCTGCCATGCACCTCCTCTAGGCTGACAGGCACATCCAGAGCCAAGTAGGCAGGGAGCTCCCAGTCAAGCCTTGGCTGTGGTTGGCGCCTCCAGAGCCCAGGCCCCGGGGAGGGTCCCACCACCTGCTGGGGGATCAGCTTTTACTGAAGGGAGTGTCTGCAGCTGCTCCTGAGGAATTGGACTGGAATGTCCCAGCTCCAAGAGGGCCAGTGGGTGAGGGGTGCCCAGGGCAGCGACGGGAGAGGCTGGAACCCCCCAGTTCCACAGTGACACCTGAAGAGGCAGAGCCCAGCATCTTAACTCCATCGGAGTGAGTGTTAGTATCACTGTGGAGTCACGTAGAGGTATATGCCACTCTAGTTTCTCTGAATCCTTGTATTTCGTCATCTGAGCTCATCTCTGCCTAGTGCGGGGGGGGGGGGGGGGCAAGCAAGGAAACTGAGGCCCAGAAGCCAGATGGCCAAGATCCCACAATGATGAACAATTCCGATTCCCTGGGCAATGTCCTTTTCTCTATGGTTGTCCCAGCTAGGGGTCACCAGCAGCCCTCCAATGGCCACACACTACTGTGTATGTGCATCTGCCCAGCTCACCACACTTGTTTTTCCCAAGGGCATCTGCAACCAGGTAGGTTTGGACCCCAGGCCCCTCAGCATGGAATTCCTCCTGCTTGTGCCTGGGTCAGAGAGAAATAGTGGAAGCACTGCTGTTTGAGGACTCAGCCCTGGAAGCTGCTAGTGCTAGAGGCAGTGGCGCGAGCAGACTGGCCGCATTCATTCACAGTCTCGCACATACACACCCACACTCAGCCAGCCAGCAGAGGAGCCCTGCCCAGGAGGGCCCTGGGAGGAGGCTGATCACTGGGCGCAGGATGGCCCCCTGCCTCGGCTCCCTTCTTGGCTGGGCAGGGAAGGGCATGGGAGCCAAGATTGCGGGTCAGCCAGGCTAAGCCCCAGGTGCAAAGGAGGAGAGGCCCAATCTGCACGGGGAGGGGGTGGGGCGGCGCTGGGTGCAGGGTGGGAGGTGACAGGTCCCAGCCCAGTCCTCTTTCCCGACACAGCCAGGGACCTGTTGTCCGCGCGGCCTGGCCCCAGTCCGGCCCTCCCTTCAGCCAAAGGCTCTGGCCAGACAGCGATGGTGCTCCGGCTGCCGAGAGCTGGTAGTGTCCCCAAAGGTCGGGATCGCCGGCAGCTGCCGCCCTTCCAGGGCAGGAGACTGGAGCAGGAAGGGGATACCTCGGAGACGGCGGGAGAGGGGTCTCGTGGGGAAGGCGGAGGAGCAGACGACATTGGCAACCTCACGGAATTGCCCCCCTGGGAAGATTGTGGCGGAGGCGTGGGCTCCCCAGAACTGCGGGAGGTCCGCAAACGACCTGGGGGGCGGGAGGGGGCATCTCTGGCCGGCCCTTCCCCGGGGCCCGCCCGGAGCGGCCGAGCCAGGGGCGCTTGAAGCCCAGGCCAGACTCCCGCGCCAAGGACGCGTGCCCCACCCCAGCCAGCCACCCGCAGGGGTCCGGGGCGCCGCTCCAAGACAGCGCATTTGCAGGGGTTGCCGAGAGCGGCATAACCCGCCGCCTCCCCTCCGGTCCCCGACCCCGCGCCCCGGCGCTTCAGTACCTGGAAGCGGGGGGCACCTGGGCGCACCCCGCACCCCGCCACCCCCGCCCACTTCTCAGACGGGCACCTCGCCGGCGAGGGGCTGCGGCTCGGCCAAGGTCGCCGGGAAAGCGAGACCTCGGCGGCCGGCCCCACCCCCGAGCCCAGGCCCCCGGCCCCGGCCCCGGCCCCGGCCCCGGCCCCGGCCCCGGCCCCCGGCGGGTCGCGCTCACCATGCTGGCGCCGCTCCGCGCTCCTCGCGCGCTGCGGGTCCCTCGCGCGGCTCCGAACCCTCCCTCCGAGCCGCGGCTCCAAGGCGAGATCGCGAGGCGGCCGGAGCGGCCGGAGCGGCCGGGCGGCAGGCGCCGGGAGAACGCGGCCGGGCGGGCGGGCGGACGCTGGAGCCGGATTGGCGAGGGAGGGACGCGCTCCGCGGCGCTCGCTCGCCTGCCCCAGAGGCGGAGGGAAAACCCGGCCTGACTCACCGGCGCGCCGCCAGCCCAGAGCCCGGCCGGGCCCCCGGATGTGGGGGGCGGGGGCGGGGACGGGGGGCAACCCCCGCCCACCGCGAGCCGACCTGAGCCCCGCCCGGGCTCGCAGCGCCTGCCCCGCCGCCGCCGCGCCGCGCCGCGCCGCGCCCCGACGCGCGCCCGAGCCGCCCGGTCCCTCTGCCGGCTGCGCGCCTCGCGGGTCTCCGGCGGGTCCGCAGCCCCCCGCGCCGCAGCGTCCCCGGAGGGCGCCCGGCCCGGCCCGCCCCGCTCCTCCTCCTGCTGGCCTCGCCCGCCCTCTCGGCTTCCAGAACTCGGCGGCTCCCGGAGAGGCGCGTGCGGTCCATCACCCCCCAGACCCTCGCCGCCTCCTCTTAGGTGAGCACGATCGCCCCCTCCGAGGTGCGGCGAAGCAGGACTCCGAGCCCTGGAGACACTCACCGAGGTGTCTGGCTCCTTCGCGACTGAATTAGGCGCTGAGCTGGTTTGCTTGCTTTTTCTCCTTTCTTTCTTTCCTCTTTTCTTTTCTTTTCTTTCTTTTCTTTTCTTTTCTTTTCTTTTCTTTTCTTTTCTTTTCTTTTCTTTTCTTTTCTTTCTTTTCTTTTCTTTCTTTTCTTTTCTTTCTTTTCTAAGTTTTTTTGCCGTTCAAGCCTTCAAGGGGCAGCAAATTCAGATGCCTTCAGGGGCCAGACAAATCCTGTGAGTCAAACGGGTGAAAGCCAAGGCAGGAGTTGGAGACGGAGATGGACACCTAAAGGTGTCCGGCTTCAAACAAGTAAAAACGGGGACCCAGACAAGTGTTGGTACTCGGAGGTTCGCAGCAGGACTCGTCACAATCGCCACAGGTGGGTCACCGGATCCCAAGAGCCCACCCACTGATGAATGGGTATGCACACTGTGGTGTATTAGTACCATGGAATATTATGCAGCCGGAAAAAAGAGTAAAGTGCATGTACAGCCTACGTGAGCCGCCAACAAAATGAGGCTAAGTGAATTAAACCAGACGCGAAAGGCCCCCCTGTGGTTAAGATTCCACTCACAGGAGGTAGGTAAATCCATAGAGACACACAGCAGATTAGTGCCAGAGGCTGTAGGGAGAAACACAGGAGCGACTGCTTCATGGACATAGTTTCCTTTGGGGATGAGGAAATGTTTTGGAATCAGAGAGAGGTAGTGGTTGCACAGCGTTCTGAATGTCCTAAATGCCTCTGAGCTGTACACCTGAAAATGGTTAATGTTATGTTGTGTGAATTTTACCACAACGAAGAAAAAGAAGTTGTGTCACCTGTGGATCACACTGGGTCCACGGGTCACCAGTTTGGAATCCCTTGTCTTCTGTGCCATCCTAACCTCTTTAAGTGCCAGACTTAGAGGGCTCATCTCTAAGAAAACTCACTACTGTTCTGGATGTTAGCCCTCGAGGAGGCCCCCCAGGCTGGTAGGGTTACTCATTAGGACAGATGAAGGTTTGGCACAAAGACGCGCTTTACCTTTTTGGGGGGACCCAAGGAAGAGCCTCACTGGAGAGATGGGTTTTGCAGTGGCACTTGAAGGATGGGAAGCATTTCCATGGTAGAAGGTGTCCATCATGGTCAGGAACATGCAAGCTTATTAGTTAGAGATAGGTGCCCAGGGTTGGGGGGCGGTGGTGGCGCCTGGGTGGCTCAGTCAGTTAAGTGGCCAGCTCTTGATATCAGCTCAGGTCATGATCTCAGGGTCCTGGGATGGAGCCCCACATCATCGGGCTTGCTGCTCAGCGCTCAGTGGCGATTCTGTTTGTCTCCCTCTCCCTTTGCCCCTCCCCCTACTCATGCTCTCTCTCAAATAAATAAATCGATCTTAAAAAAAAAATGATAAAGAACTAGGTGACCGGAGCCTCTGAGGTATTGAGAGAGGGAGGTGTGAGGACCAAGCTGGACTTCAGGGTGTGTACTCAAGCCCTCTGAGGAGGTCAAGGCAGGGAGGCTGCGTGTAGGGATCTCAGGGAACAGAGACAGAGACATAGGGAGGCAGGGGCAATGGGGAGAGGAAGAGATAGAGGAGTTCATGAGATAGTTTAAAGAATTGTCATGTCTTGGCAAGAAATTACATGGCGGGGGGGTGTCAAAGATAAGTTCTGGTGAAAACTGATTCAGCCCTACCCTTTTCTGTTGTTACAAACATTGGCAACTTATCCAAGATCTTCTGACCCCCATCCTCAACCCTCATCAAATGTTTTTTTTTTTTTTTTTTTTCCTGCACCAGGCTGCTAGAGGAAGGTGGGAGGGGAAGGGTGTTCAGTAGTTTGGAATGTCCCAACAGGAGGGAAACCAGAAGATACCCTGGAGCCTAGAGATGTCAAACACAGAGAGGGAAGGGGGGAAGGGCAGGAGGGTCCTGGCTGAATGGAATCCGAAGAAGGTGGCCCCACAGCAGAGAAGAGCAGTGGCAGAGCAGAGGTCTCTGGAGCCTTGGCAGCTCTGCAGGCAGCTGGAGCCACTTGGAGGATGTGGGCTGGGTGCTGAGTGCTGAGTGGAGGGGACAGGA